AATTATAAAAGAATATGATTACCAAAGCCAAACCAGAAAATGTAATCTCAGAAAACACAGAAAGACTGAAGATCTTTATACATGGACATCATACTTGTATTTCAACAGTGTAATGAACCAACGGAGACACTGAAATGTCTAGTAAGGTGCAGAGTGGAAAGACATGGTTGTCTGGAAATAGGCTTGTAAGATAGCATAAAACAATACTGTTAACTTTGAGCACAGCTTGGGAGATAAGTTTTGAAATAAAATTTAAAAGATAATTCCATGTGTTTGGATGCATTTTTATAGTAAAGTTTGTGTTCTTAAAACTAAGAGTAAAACTAGTCTTTAAATGTACAAGAGCCAGCTCCTCTTAATGGCATGGTGAGGGTTTTGTTGCTTCTCTAAATACCGGGGCATGCTATGTGGCATGACAAATAGAAGATGATATGACAGGATATTAACAATGAAAAATAGTCTCAATACAGAGGAAACAAGGAAAAGAAGCTTTTTCACTCTGACAGCTGACCCAAAACACCTATCATAAAGTGTACACATCTTCTTAAATTAAAAAGAAATGTGTATCGCTTTGAGCCATCATCTTGTCAACCCTATGTGAATCATAAACGTTTACAAAGTATGAGGAGGAAAAGAACAACAGCTCAGAAAAATAAACATAATTTGGAATAATCAAAAGAAGCCCCAGGCCCTCCTTAGTGGTGCAAAGGGTTAAAGCGCAGCACTGTAAGCTAGCTGCAGCCATTTCAGTATGAGTTCCATCCCCTGCTTGGAAGTGACCCACATGGCCCAACAGACCTCTCCTGACCTGACAGTTGTTCCCCTCAGCAGTGTACTTAGTCAATCTGCCTGTTCAGTTCCCCATTCTGTCTCTGGTGAAGCCTCTCACGGTCCCTGCACCTCTGGCCAGTTCTGTATGCATAAATAAATAAATCTTAAAAAAAAAAAAAAAGGACCTCCCTAGAGGTGCAGGGGGTTAAAGCACAGTACTGAGAAGCTAAAGCCACTTCAGCATGAGTTCGATCCCTACCCTGGAGGTGATCCAAATGGTGCAGCAGACCTCTCCTGACCCATCCTCTGTTCCCCTCAGCAGTGTATTTCATTGACCTGCCTGTTCTGCTACCCACTCTGTCTCTGGTTAATCCTCTCACTGTCCCTGAACCTTTAGCCTGCACCCCAGTTCTATATGCATGAATAAATAAATCTTTAAAAAAAGAAGAAGAAGAAGAAGTCCCAAATAAGATGATTTTTGCTTCTCTCCAAGAAATCTGTACAACAAAACAAATGTCTGGGACATAATAGTGTTCAGTAAGTGTTGTCTGAATGAAGAAAAGCATAACCTTATAAAATGCTATCTAAAATCAAACATAGCTATTTTTGAAGAAGTATTTCAGAAGACAGCTGAAAACTTTGTTAGTTAAAGCAAGTTTCATTGTACAAAAAACATTGATTAACTTAACCATGTTATTTCATTTGCAGAATTTATATATCCTTTCACAAATGTAAAACATTAAATAGCATTGGGTTAATCATATAAATGTCAGATAGTAAAAAACTACCAAATGTGGTTTCTACATAAGTTTATTTTGTTTAACACTGTATTTTTTCTAAGGCACTAAATAAAAATGAAATCAACACATTGGCTGATTTCTACAATTCATATTTTAGAAAGATCAATTAATGTGCTCAGATGGTGTTGGAATTTGTTCTTACATGTCCAACATGAGAAAGACAAATGAATACTGTGTAAAGAATTTTAATCTAATCAAACCTGAGGGGATAATTTAAGATTTAATAAAATTGTTATCGGTAATAGTTATCTGCATCAAAGTAATCAGGTACAAACTATGTTTCACATGTAAAACAAATCCATTTCACACTCTCCTTTGAGAGAGCCTTAAAGCGTGCATTTATATAATAGGATAGTTTTCTGCCTCCAAGTTTTCAGTAAATACGTGATTGATAATATCCAGTAATTCTGGATTCACGTTCACATCAATAAAACATGAGGACATGCAAAGAAATCAATGGTATTAGAGAGTAAAAAGGAAATGAAAACAAAATCATGTATGAGTGTTCTGAAAAAAGTGAAACTAAAATGAAAATTAAGCACTGTTGTTTGTATACTTATTAGTTTTTAGTAATTGAATACAATTCTTTCAAGTTAAATGACAGAGGAAAGCTAACACAGTTATTACAGGAAAGCTACCTAGGGAACTTAAGACTAATTATTACTGCTCAAAGATCTGCTTGCAAGAAGCCTAGAGCGTCACAAAGGAGTTTTCAAGGGTGAAGGAGAACAAGTGAGGAGAAGGGAGAGCGTGTTTCGTGTCATGTTTAATTTAAGTTTCAGCATCTTGGTGTTTTTCTCAAATATCTGAATGTACTCTTTAAGCAGATGATAATACATCAGTTTCTAAAAATGAGAGAAAGTATAAAAAGCAGCAATTTTTTCAACTTGCTTCCTGGTAGATTTTCCTCAAATTATTGTATGTGTACTGCCTTGTGCTTGGGGTGTAGTGTAATAAGAGAATCAATTCATGATTTTAAAAACAGAAGGCACACCTTAGCTACATTTCTAGCTATATGCAATGAAGTTAGAAGCCTACTTGGGGGGAGCTTCAACTATCATGTTGCAGTTGGATTTAAGAATATATTTACTTGCTCATATCCTTCTAAATTTAACGTAACTCTTATATCCTAGTCAAAGGCTCACATTTAACTTTTCCTCAATTTGGTAAAAAATGCTACATAAATAAATGGAAACTATTAGCTACTTGACATCTTTAATAATAGAGGACATTTCTTTAATACCAGCATTATAAATAATCCAGAAACTCCCCAGACGTAGGCAGCTGTATTAATAAAAACATAGAAACGTGGACCATTTATTATGATTCAATTGTATGTCTATTAAGGGTTTATATAATTTACTTTATGTCCACAAAAAGAACATTACAATGGTTGGGTAAATCAATAAATGTCACCAAGACTATTGTCTCAAATGACAACAAATAGTAAGTGTTATTGTCCCAGAAGTTTACTGGACTTGACCCTGAAGTTACAGATAGGCCACGTACAGACTGATTACTGATGCAATTTTTATACCAATGTAGTACTAGGGAAAAATGGCTATTCTGCCTGCCTTCCATCCATCTATACAGCTTCAATTCATCATAATTTGCAGCAATGATTCTCATGCAGCTTTGGATTTAAAGCCTCTGATTTAAAAAGAAAGGAAAAATCTTTAAAGAGAATTCTTTTTTTAATTGAGCCTGACATTATGTGTGAAAATTACATTATTTAAGACTCGAAATGAGATTACCTTCTTCCAGAGACGATTTACTTTTGTTTTTATCAGGCATCTTGGCTAAGGGCAGCTCTAAATCCAATAGGGTGGAAATGACTGAAATTTGGGCTTCAGGTTTTTAGAGAACCGGTCTTTTCTAACAATTTGATTGTTGAAAGTGCTTAGCTTCCTGACTTCTGGCCAGGCTTCTGCATTTACATTCCAATTCCCGGGTGAGAAAAGGCAGCTCAGGCACAGGCTCGGGTCCCTTGGCTTTCCTCCTGGATCTCGGGCCTGTAAATTCTCCCTGCCTGAATATCTCGCCAATGTCCTCAAACAGGTGTTTAGTACACTTTCTCTGTTTGTATTATTATCAGGGATCGTGGTCTAATTCATCTTTACCGCCACAGGTAGAAACCCTATAATTCCCACTTTGATTACTGGTGTTAATATCTAGTCTTTTAAGCTAATTATCTTGGATTGATATTCAGTTGCTCAATATCTCAATAGCTCCGTCCTTTTTTGCCTATCTGCAACTGTAGAAAGCTTTCTCAACATTAGCTTATTTTCCACTGATTGAGCCTGTGATCACTTAGGTTACAATTGCCTGTGCACCTTTATATATGGAGTCATTCTTTGTCACTAGGATCTCTCAAATCTAGTCTTGAGTAGGACTGAGTGTTAGTTTGGTCGTCAGACTGCTATATCAGAAAACCATAGTCGGGGTGGCTTATAAATAACAGAAAGGTATTTTCACAGTTATAGAAGCTGGGAAATCCAAGATCAAGGTACCAGCAGATTTGGCTCCTGACTTTTAAAGAGCCATCTTCTGTTTCCTCAGATGGTGAAGGGTTCAGATTTCTCTAGGATCTCTATTGCAAATTCAATAATCCCATTCTTGAGGGTTTCACTCTCATAATCTTAATCACCTTCCAAAAGCCCTTATCCAGATACCTCCACTTTAGGGGTTTGGTTTTCAATTTAGGACTTTTGAGTGGACACATTCAGTCTCTGGCAGACTGTGTAGCATAAAACATCCTGGAAATGAAATAGTTAAGCAGGGATGCAAGTTCTCATGTACCCCAACAGCATGTTGTTTTAACACAATTGGTTTCTGTCTGCCTGAGTTCCAAGTTGCCCAAGCAGAGAAGATAGTGCTATATAATCATCAGCTGATAATCTGGTCGTAACAGGTTGATGGCTCCTCTCCAGGTGATCACCTGAAACAACTCATGCCCCCGAACATTGCTTGCGTTAAAAATCTACTGAGGAGAACCGGAAGTGAATATGCAGAAAGGAACAGTTTTTATTCTCAAGTAATAAGAGTGTGGGTAATTTTTTTCCTCCTATGTTTTTCTCACATCCTTGTTGCTACTACATCTTATAAGACAAACAGACAAATCTCAACTACAAATGGTACAGAGAAATAGCAATATTTTCTAAAATACAATTTAAATATATAACAAAAATTCTGTTTTGAACTTAGGGCTTTACATTATGCCAGGTAACATTCTTACAAATACAAATTTCTATGTAAAACATAGGGATGCAGTGCCATGTACCTCCTGGGACAGCCCTAGAATTAACTGACACTGACTGTCAGTTGGTCATTTCTGTTTTTCTTTTTAACAACGTGCTGCTTATTTCTCCTAAAAAGCAAATGTACAAAACATTTTTACGTCGTAGTATTTATGAAGAAATGTTTTTTTACCTAAAATTTTCATATTCTTCTGCTTGTCGCTTCCATGGACAGTTCTGTATATTTGTGATAATCTGAAGATAGTCATTTTCTGAATACCTAAAAGTCAAACGTCAAAGAAATTAGAAAACAAAGCTCTCACATATTACTAAATGTAAATCTCTTACAGAACACTCATAATCGATTCATTTTAGCCTTCTAATTTTTTTTCTGAAATAGGGTGTTGTACACTATTTACAATATCCAAACATGGAAACAACCTAAATGCTCGAGAACAGATAAGTGGATCAAGAAGAGGTGGTGCACATACACTATGGAATGCTACTGAGAGATCAAAAAAGACAAGATCACAATACTTGCTGGCAACTTGGACAGAATTGGCAGGGATTATTCAGCTGCCCCTTCCTCTCATAGGTTATCCAACGGTTTAATTACAGTGTTCCTCATCCCTTCTACCATGCCATTGCTCTTGATACACACAACCGGCATCATCCACACATGGTTCAAGGGCCATTGTTTTTGTTTATGTGAAATGAGTTTGTAAGTAAACAGAGGAAACCAGTCCAGAATCATCACTCTATGCTCTCCTGTGTATGTCCACTCTATAAAGGAAGGATTATCTTCTGATACTAGAGAAGGGATGACTAGGCCTTTAGTGGTACAACGGGTTAGGACGCAGCACTGCAAGCTAGCTACAGTTGCTAGCTACAGTTGGAGCCCAGGCCCCGGAGGTGGTCCACATGGTGTGGCAGACCTCTCCTGAAACCCACCCATGGCTCCCCTCAGCAGTGTGCTTCATCGATCTGCCTGTTCTGCTCCCCACTCTGTCTCTGGTGAATCCTCTCATCCACCACACCTCTGGCCTGTACCCTACTTCTGTAAAAATAAATAAAATAAATCTTAAAAAAAAAAAAAGAATAAGGAACACCAAAGGAATTTTTTTCCCCCTATAATTTTACCCTTTCCTACTGAAAAGTAAATCACCAATCAGCATTTATAAAACTTAAGATGGAACAATACCATCATAATATGTAAAGTGAGAGGATGGCTGGAAGGAAAGCCCATACAGAAGGATATCATAGCAACAATTGGCTCTCAGTATATTAGGCCTGGTCTATATTTTGTAATCTGAAAACCAACTATAATAATCCCTGCCAGTTCTGTCCATGTCACCAGCAAGTAGCATGATTTTATCTTTTTTGATCTCTGAACAGGAAAAATCACATGTATGCTACAGTGTGGGCTTACATTGTGGGATAGGAGTATCTCTATAAAAGTTGCCCAGTAAAAAAATGCTCTAAGTCACATCACACTTTCTATAAATTTACATTTATAGTTGGTTTTCAGATTATGAAATATAGACCAGGCCCCACATATTGAGAGACAACTATTCCTATGATCTCTTTTGATAGATGACAAAACTAAAACTTCTGAGAAGATAAACAACTTGCTGAATATTGTATTGTAAGTGCATAAGCGAAGAATTAAGCTCATGTCTTTTGATTCATAGTGTGGATCCCTTTCTAATATATCACTGCTAAATCTCATCTATTTTCATAATGAAACTGAAAATTAATCTCAGAAACATTTTCTGCTCCTAAGACAAACAATAAATCATACAAAATAATGTAGCAAGTTATTATCAAAAGAATAAATAATGTCCACTTAAATCATTATTAGTAATATTCAAAATGAGGTACAAATTATAAATAATATATCAAATGATACTAAATAATTTCATATTAAAATTCAAAATTTTTTAGGAACTTCTCTTTGGAGATACAACCACATGCTGTGACTTAATTTTTATCTCAATTAAGAAGCAAAATAGGATATTAAAATGACTACAATTTATAGTTAATTTTAAGATTAATATTTTTTGAACAGGTAATAGGTGATTAGAAATTATCTTAAGGTTTTTTCTAATCCTACTGAGGTTTTGATATATTGATTTAGTTTCTTATAAAAACTCTTCATGGTGAAAGCCACGATTTTTGTCTATTGAAATGGATGGATACACCAATAGCATTGTCAATAGACTACTAAATGATGTTCTGTGTAGATAAAACAGTCTTTTGTAGCTAGTTTTAACAAAACTCGAGACACTCAGATCTACATGTAAACAAATTCTGCAAATTAGCACTGTGTGATTTTCAACCAATGTAGCCTAATCATCTTCACTGGGCAGTACTTTTGAAGGAAATTGCTGATGAGTATGCCACAGCTAGCAAAACAAAAAGAAGTATGTAGCAGGCAGGCTGTGTAGATCTATGAGTAGTATTGATATACTGTTACTTCAACCACTAGAGATAAAATAATTCTCTATATATACATATATATGTTTCTTTTTAAAGATTTATTTACTTATGCATACAGAACTGGGGTACAGGCAAGAGGTGTGTGTGGGGGGGCGGGGGGTGAGAAGATTCACCAGAGAGTGGAGAGCAGAACAGGCAGATGGACAAGTATACAGCTGAGGGGAGCAGCAGGCGTGACAGAGGAGGTCTGCTGTGCCATGTGGTCACCTCCAAGGCTAGACTGGGATCGAACTCACACTGAGGCAGCTGTGGCCAGCTTGTAGTGCTGCAGCCTAACCCATTGCACCACCAGGGAGGGCCCAATATATATAGTTTTAAAATCTCTATGAAGGTAATTGCTAATTAGAATGCTGTAGCTATTGTCATTTGGCATGGGATTGTCAACTGACATGGGAAAAAAGAATCTCAAAATTTCATTCTGTCTTTTAAACTCCCTCAGATAAATATCTGAAATTAACTTCTAAAGATTCCAGTGTTGTTCTTCACACCTCCATTGAAATCACCAAATTGTCTTGTCATTTGGCATGGGATTGTCAACTGACATGGGAAAAAAAAATCTCAAAATTTCATTCTGTCTTTTAAAGTCCCTCGGATAAATATCTGAAATTAACTTCTAAAGATTCCAGTGTTGTTCTTCACACCTCCATTGAAATCACGAAATTGTCATATTTGAAGTGCTAAATATTGATTCAAAGAAAATAACATAATTAGTAAGTTCATTATAGACCAGTAACTTTGGGGAGCTGGGTATTAATTATATGTTTAAGACACATACTAGGAAATACCACAAGCAGTGACTAACCTTAGTCAAGCCAGAGAAAATCAGTTATCTATTTACATAGAGATAGGATGTGGTATAGGAAAGGCTACCAGAGGAGTAATGCACACTAGGATTAAAGCAAGGTAGAGTAGGAAAGTTGTTACCATCCTAAATCAACAGGCTTACCTGGAAAGAACTGTAGCTGTAGGCACAGAAGATGGCCACTGGATAGTAGTGGTAGCCTTTGGTAAAGGATGTAGTCATACCCAAACCAGCTCACAGAGAGGGGTCAAGGACAATAAAAAACCTAACTTTCTCTCTTCCTACTTTCTTCTCTCCTTCTGATGTCTCCCTTGGGCTAATCCTAACCCTCCTAAGCTGAGGGTATGAGAGCGAAAGGAAGTCAGACTTGGAACCATGCAGCAAAAACAAAAATTGAGGGTGGATCTAAAAGTTTAAAAAGTAAAATACAGCACACATGGAAACATATTCATGATGTTATTTATCAGAATTATTTTGGCATAGCTGTATTCACTTCGTTGGACCAGTTTGATATAATGTCAAAATCAAAAATCTACCTAATCTCAAAATGAAAAATGTAATTTAAAGTATCTTCTCAAGTATCTATACAACATGAAAAATATCATGAGGCTAGGAACGATGAAGAAAAAAGAATAAAGCTTCTATTTCTTCCTGTAACAAAAGATTTCTGGAGATGAAAAAATGGTAACCCACTATTCAAGTTTATGTAAAGAAACTCCAGGCATAAAAAGGGTATCCAGGCCCTCCCTGGTGGTGCAGCGGGTTAAAGCACAGCACTGAGAATCTAAAGCCACTTCCGCATGAGTTTGATTCCCGCCTGCCCCGGAGGTGACCACATGGTGTGGCAGACCTCTCCTAACCCGCCCGCTGCTCCGCTCAGCAGTGTACTTCATCGATCTGCCTGTTCTGTTCCCACTCTGTCTCTGGTGAAGCCTCTCACCGCCCCCTGAGCCTCTGGCCTGTACCCCAGTTCTGTATGCATAAATAAATAAATCTTTAAAAAAAAAAAAAGGTATCCAGAGATGAAAATAACAATTTAGTGACCTTATACTATCAATTTTTAGAAATGGGGTCCTATGTATTTCAAGAAACCTTAAAGAATCAATAAATTTAGTATCTCCATCTCTTGTAAAGTAACTTATATGGCTACAGTGAGTTACACTAGTGAAAGAGCTAGCACGGAGAGTGACCTGGTATGTCCGAATGTTGTCTTTCCAATTCCTTTATCTCACATAAGTGGAGTTGGTCTTTCCTTCCTCTGTCCTCTGAAACATCGTATAGCTAATACATATGTTAACAGCAATTATCCTTTGTTTCCATGTATTTACTCAATGAATACTTACTAGGCATCTGCTATATGCTAATCTAGGGGCCAATAACATAACAATGAACCATACATATTTCCTAAAGAAAAACAAACTACAGTCTTATGAAATTTATATTGGAGCAGAACAAGAAAACAAAGTCTATTCATTATGGGCTGAATTGTGTTCCTCCAAATCCATGTTGAAGCCTTCATACTTAATACTTCAGAATGGATTGCATTTGGAAAGAGAGCCCTTAAATGGGGAATTAATTTAAAAGAGGGTGATAAATCCAATCTGGCTGGTACTACTAAAAGTAAAAGGAAATGTATCCATATAGAGAGATCCCTAGAGCATGGTGCATACAGAGAAAAGCCCAATGCAAGAGTCAGATACCTCCTAAGGAGAAACCAAACTTGTTGTTACCTTGATGTTGGATTTCTAGCCTCTGAAACAGTGAGAAAATAAGTATCAGTTATGTAAGCTACCCAGTCTGTATTAGTTTGATGCCAAAGCCCTAGCATTCTAATGCACCAAACTAAAAGTAAATTAACAGCATGTTGAAGTACTATGTTCTCATTACTGTGAATAAAATTAAAACAGGTGAAAAGAGGGACAAGTATGTGAAATAGGGCTGCAATTTACGTAGGGTGTTCAGAGAAGCCCAAACTTAAA